CGGCACCAGCTTAGGACGAGCCAGAGGGGGCCAGATAGTGGTTGGTGGCCGCCAACCGGGTGGCCTCCGGCACGACGGCATCCTGAGGCAGGGAGGCTGGCCGGGTGATCTCCTGCTGCTTGAAGTAGCGGCGCTCCTCCTGGACCAGACGGCCCTCCGCGCCAATTGTCGGTCTAGTCATTCGCCCGCCCCGAATAGTCCTCCTTCTTGGCGCACAATTGTCGTAACGCCTCGTGGCGAGCCCAGAGCGCCCGGGCTCTGGATCGGGCTCTCCGGCGAGGGCAGTCCCCCGAGGGGGGGGGGGGGGGGGGACATGCGGGAAGCCCGGAACGTGTGACTCATCGACCCCGGACCAAGTCCCGCGGGCGTCAGGCACCACCGCCACCGCCACCGCCACCGCCACCGCCACCGGTGGGCATGGCGGCCATCAGTTGCCGAAGGGGGTCAGGTGGCGCAGGGGCTTGGCCGTGCCGCACTTGGACCCCGTGCCGCCGGGAGGCTGGATCAGATGGCCAATCCGGTCGTTGAGGAAGTCAACGGACGCCATGAAGGCCCGGCGGACCTGCGGAACCTGGCGATCAGCCTCGCCGACCAGTCGACCCGCCTGAGCCAGCGCCGGAGCCAGGTACTGGTCGCGAGCCTGCTCCAGGCGCACGACCACCGCCGGGGCGAAGTGGGCCGCCGTCGCGACGGACCACTGCTTCCCGGAGTCCAGGCTCGGGAGGATGGCCTTCTCGGCCAGCTGGTACGACTGGGTGTAGGCCTCGGCAAAGGTGGACCCCAGAAGGCTGGGGAGGGTGGCGCGCGCGTGCGCCGCCACGGCCGCCGTCTCGGCCGCCGACCACCGGGCCAGCGCCGCCCCATGGGCCGGCAGGGTGGCCGCCTGCTCACGAAGGCGACTCACCGCGTCGGCCGGGCCGCGAGCCACCAGATCACCTGCCAGCTGCATGGCACCATGGTGCATGGCAGCCAGCGGGCCGAGGACCCGGGGGAGGTTGGCCACGGCCGCGCCGGCCGCCAGCGACAGCAGCCGATACAGGAAGATCGGGTGCGTCATGGTCCCGGCGATGATATCCACCTGCATGTCCCGCGGAGCCACCGTCAAAACCGTGGTCAGGAGAACCGCCCCCAGCACGAAGGTGGCCACACAGAAAGCCAGCAGGAGCAGCATCAAAAAGCGCAGACCTCCTGCCGGGGCGGAGGTGGTGGTCCGCCGGCGCTGGACCGCGGCCCCGGTCAGCAGACGCTTTTGGTAGGTGGCCGTCGGCACGGCATCCGCCTGCGAGGCAAGACGCGCGGCAACGAACAAATAGTCCGACAGCCTGTGGCCCGAGCAGCAGGGCAACCCCCAGGAGGGGGGGCGCGGGCGGGGGAGAAGGGAGGACGGTCAGCGGATGGCGCGGGGTGCAGCCGAAAGGGCCGGCCGGTCGCGACGGGGGCGCACCGATTGATGAAAGCCAGGCTGGAGGGATGGCAGTCCTGGCGGTCGACCACCAGCGTCACAAGGTGGGGCTCGACCATGCGGCAGTACGACCGGGCCATGTGGAGATGGGACGAGGCGTAGCCGCCGGAGGGGAGGATGAAGTTCTTCAGCGGCGGAAGCCGGGCGCTGATGTCGTCGATCCACTCCTCGAGCTGGGTGGCCAGCATGCCATCATCGTCGAACTGGGTGGCGTCTGGGGGTGCCCCGGGGCAGCAAGGGGGGGGGGGGGGGGGGGGGGGGGGGGTCAGGAAAATGCCCGGCTCGGGGACGGTGAGCAGCGAGGGGACAGGAGGGGCACATCGGGAGCCCGGCACGCACTGATCTTTGTGGGGTTGGAGCTGGTCCGCGGGGTGGCGATGTGGGCCCCGAGGTCGAACAGCCAATTCTGGACCTATGGGTGCGGCGCGGAGGCGCGGTCAGCATGTGGGCAGGCGCGGCGGCAGGAGCAACGGCGAGAGCGGCAGCGGCGGGCCGCGAGGCGTACCAACACCAGGTGGTCGGCGATCATCTTCTTGTCCTTGTGGCTGGTGAGGAACTGAATCGCAACGCTGCGTCACATCCCGAAGCAGGAGAGTCAGTCCGGACAGGAGCGCCTGGCAGCAGGGTGCAAGTCGAGCAGGTGGCAGGCCAGGCGGCGTGCGCGCGAGCGGCACCGTCACAATACGCACCCGATGCTGGAGTTCAACGTGTCAACATGGCCCATGGTCAGGAAGACGGGGTCGGACTTGGACACGCGAGTCCCATTGTAGAGGCTCGAGGTCCCTGCACATGGCAGGGGAGACGGGCAACGAGGTGAGTGGCCGAGGGGGGGGGGGGGGGGGGGGGGGGGGGGGGGGGGGGGGGGGGGGGG